CATGTAAGCCACAATGTGCTCATGCCGAGCTACGCTTTTTATAGCTAACGCATGCGACCACAAAGACGCTCGTGCTGAGCTGCGCTATTTAACACTGTATATAGCAACAGCACGCGACCTCAGTGCGATCGTCTGAGTCATTATTTATAACTACGGCACGCGGCCACAATACGCTCGTGCTGAGCCGCTATTTAGTTCTTTTTATAGCTACCGCACACGACCACAATGCGCTCGTGCTGAGCTGCGCCATATATAGCTACCCCTTGCGAGCACATTCGCTCGTGCTGAGCAGCCCTATTTATAGCAACCGCTTGCGACCACGATTCGCTTGTGCAGAGCCGCGCTATTTAGCGCTATTTATAGCTACGGTACGCGACCACAATGCGCTCGTGCTGAGCTACGCTATTTAGCGCTACTTATAGCGACTGCATGTGACCAGAATGCGCTCGTGCTGAGCCGCTATTTATAGCTACGGCACGCGACCAGAATGCGCTTGTGCTGAGCCACTATTTAATTATATTTAAATTTACCGCAAACGACCACAAAGCGTTCGTGCTGAGCCGCTTAAATCATTGCTACGACACGCGCCCACAATGGGCGTATGTTTAGCTGCGATATGTATAGCTACCGTTTGCGAGCACAAAGCGTTCGAGCTGAGCTGCGCTATTTATAGCTACGGCATGCGACCACAATGCGCTCGTGCTGAGCTGTTATCTATAGCTACGGCACGCGACAACAATGCGTTCGTACTGAGCTGAGCTATTTAGAGCTATTTATAGTTACCACACGCAACCACAATAAATTCGAGCTGAGCCGCTATTTATAGCTACGTCATGCGACCAGAATGCGCTCGTGCTGAGCTGTTATTTATAGCTACGGCATGCGACAACAATGCGTTCGTACTGAGCTGAGCTATTTAGAGCTAGTTATTGTTACCACACGCGACCACAATAAATTCGGTCTGAGCCGCTATTTATAGCTACGGTATGCGACCAGAATGCGCTCGTGCTGAGCTGCGCTATTTATAGCTACGGCATGCGACCACAATGCGCTCGTGCTGAGCTGTTATTTATAGCTACGGCACGCGACAACAATGCGTTCGTACTGAGCTGAGCTATTTAGAGCTATTTATAGTTACCACACGCAACCACAATAAATTCGGGCTGAGCCGCTATTTATAGCTACGGCACGCGACCAGAATGCGCTCGTGCTGAGCTGTTATTTATAGCTACGGCACGCGACAACAATGCGTTCGTACTGAGCTGAGCTATTTAGAGCTATTTATAGTTACCACACGCAACCACAATAAATTCGGGCTGAGCCGCTATTTATAGCTACGGCACGCGACCAGAATGCGCTCGTGCTGAGCTGTTATCTATAGCTACGGCACGCGACAACAATGCGTTCGTACTGAGCTGAGCTATTTAGAGCTATTTATAGTTACCACACGCAACCACAATAAATTCGGGCTGAGCCGCTATTTATAGCTACGGCACGCGATCAGAATGCGCTCGTGCTGAGCTGTTATTTATAGCTACGGCACGCGACCACAATGCGCTCGTGCTGAGCTACGCTATTTATTGCTACCGCATGCGACCACAATGCGCTCGTTTTTGAGTGATCGATTATTAGAATACACATTGGCACATTCTGCACACGTGGTTTGAGTGATCTGTTTTTAGAATACATAGCCACACATTCCAAGAAGACACGGCTGGGCTCTCTTTTCCGTAAAAATTTCTGAAAAGTATAAAAGGCGGTTACAGCGTATAAAAATTGAGTAATTAGAATCAACACGGATACAGCTGTTTTGTCAACCGCCACTTCAGCGCCGTGCTCGCCGCGCTGACCGAGCGGCTGTTCCGCTATGACGCATGCCTCGTTATCTACAGGTACCGTATCGACCAAAACGTTGCCCGCTGAGCAGCAAACAACAATACAACTCTGGGAATATAAGCTAACAGGTGCGAAGAATTGTTCTCTCATTTTGCAACTATCTGTGGCTCGTGGTATGCGTGACTTAAGTTTTGATCAAACTTCATTCAGTGATTAAGAAATTGATCATGCACGAACATACCAAATGTGCCCTGTGGGTTTAAAGGCCAAATATTGAAGTGTGACTGTAAAAAAACGGTGCATAGGTTCTCAGGTGAGACATATAAATAGGGAGCTAATTGGTGATAAAAAGATAAAGCAGCATGAGTAGTTCCAACAAACCATAAAATCAGGAAATGAACCAAATTATGTAAAATACGCCTTGTTTACGAAATGCAACAATTGAAAGATCAGGATCACGACAAACACACCCCCCCCCCCC